GGAGGGCGGGGCTAGGGCGAGAGAGGGAGCTAGGAGGAGGGCGGGGCGAGGGCGAAGGGAGGGAGCCAGGAGGAGGGCGGGGCTAGGGCGAGAGAGGGAGCCAGGAGGAGAGGGCGAAGGAGGGGACCAGGAGGAGAGGGCGAAGGAGGGGACCAGGAGGAGAGGGCGAAGGAGGGGACCAGGAGGAGGGTGGGGAGAGGGCGAGGGAATGCGATGGAGCGCGACAGCGAGCGTGGATGGTTGAAGTTGGGAGTCAAGACGCGAGTAGGCGGACATTAAAATTGCGGTTATATAACTGACGTGATCGGACTTTGAATCCTAGTGAAGGTCGCTTATTAGTATTGGATTCACTATATGTTCAGGCTATAGAGAGTAGTAGTATATCAACCATAGGACTAACAAGGCGATATATAGATAAGAGATAATGCAAATGATCAGTATTTGAAGGTGTTCCACCGTTTATGATTGAATTGACATAGATACATCTACGGAAGCGAGGTAATAGAGTAAATCACAGATTTTATACATATGGCGGGACGACCTCAAGACGACCTTAGAGTTAGCTCGACGCTGACGATACGCTTACCATAACGAAGTTAGCGGGCAATTCTAATGAACCTAAACAGGGTGGCAAGTCTAACTAGTCATATTTCAATCTCGAGTGTAATACGAATGAGCAAAAATTCGAATATGCGAATGTAGCAAGGAATACGACGAGTAGTGATACGAAGACGTCAGTTTGAGCCTCGGAGGCGATGTTCACCCTCTTTTTTCCCCTTTGCCGTAGTTCCCTTGGTTTTGATCCCTGCCATTGTGGCATCAGCTTGTGGATCCAGGTCCTCCAACCTGCCGGCATTGGTTCCATTGCGAGTAGCCTAAGTAGAAATGCTAAGTAGTGTGACAGTTAACTATATATGAACTCACGCGCACCATCCCTCGAGCTCGAAGGGCTCGATGAGTAGAAATAGAGTCCAAGGGGGTACCTCCACCCTGATTCTTTGATGTGTGACCGGCCGAGATGCTGTCTTCGCGAATGACGCCCACCGCCCTCGCGCTGACGGAGGAGTTCTTGCCGTCCTTGGCCTGAATATCCAAGTATGCGGACGTCCTCTGCAGGCCGCCAGCTGCATCTCGTGTCCGATCTTTCGGAATAGAATTAGACACTGATACAATAGTAATAACGAACATCTCCTCACCTTGCGCGTAAGCAGTGGGAATAGAATCCTCGTCCTGCTCAGCATACTCAGCCTTGTTCTCCCCGTCCCCTCCTTCCGAGTCGTCCTCATCCTCGTCTTCGTCTTCGTCCTCCTCGTTCTGATGTTCGACCTCGGCAGCGGTGTCCGGGCGCTCGAGAGAGTTGGTCTGTGGATCCAGTTCCATACGACGAACTTGCTTGGCAAGGGCCGAGAGCGAGTGAGAACTGTTAGTAGATGACGCTCCCGCCGGAGGGGAAGACTCGGAGTCGGCGGGTGGTTTGGGTGCGTAGTACTGTTCGAGACCAGCCATGAGCTCTTCGTCTTCATCCTTCTCCTGATCGACAGGTGCCGGAAGCTCTTTCAAGACAGGGTGGTCGGATGATGAGGGTGGAATACCGAGAATTTCGTAGTTGAAGTACTCCTGGACCTTGAAGGTCCACACGGCATTACCTGTAAATAGAAGCTTCAAAATATAGTCCCTGTCGTCGCCGTACGGGATGCCAGAGGGCAAGCCAGGGTTTACGTAGGTTGGATCGTTTGACAGGAGGTAGCGTACCTTTGGAATGCATTTAGATTAGTTCAGGTATAGAATGAATATGTTCACTCACATCAGCAGTGGAGCTTGCAATCATTGGCGGGTCTATGACCGTGAGCTGCGTTCCTTTTGCTTTCGAGCGAGGCCGACGCACGCGGCGGAGCTTCAGACCGCTCAGACCAAAGAACTTTACGATCGTTGCCTAGCACTACGAATTAGTGAAATTTAAATAAGAGACATGCGATCTGACTGACCTTAACGAGTACTTCAGACATAAGAAATTCTTGCGGGAGTAGACGATCCGGATTTGCATACAAGACGGGCGCGTGTCGTTCGTACTTGGGGGAATCGACCTTCTTCTTGAGGAGGCTCAACTTCCTCGCCACTGTAAGAGGTCCAAAAATGCTCAGTTCCGCGGCACGCAGAGCGGTAGTGTAGATACGACACCCAGCGTCAACAGCCTGGGTAAACTAAGGAGCCGGAAAGTAATGAGACACTGTACAAGCTGGAATGATGAGAGCTTACCGTAGTGGCGAACGTCTCCTCCTGCTCTATGAGATCTCCCATCTCTTCAACGCCCATGAACCGATAAACATCGGCCATGTTCCCTAGGCCCATCGCCTTCGCGTCCTCGAAGCGGGAAGGATCAGCGGGATCGATGCTCCTTGCAAGAGGTGACAGCGGGAAGGTGCCGTCGGCAACCCAAGGGCGGATGCACTTGGAGAAACCGCCGCCCTTGCTCTTGAACTTACTTTCGGATATCATAGACTGGAGTGATAGGCCCCTATCGAAACTTTTCTTCTTGTCCTTGGGTAGCAGCGCATATAACACGCGAACCTGGTCTTTGACGGCGCAGTACGCGTCGAAAAGGGCACCATGCTCTTCCTGAGTTTCGTGTAGAGCCTGAAGAAAGTACACATGCCATATGAGCACTCGATAACAGGACCTAGATAGTTATATTGACGACTCACTTTACGAACTTGCACAAGAGGCGCGGTCTCCGAGAGTTGGGATACAGCATGCAGAGAGCGTGTAAAGCGACTGTCGTCGTCCATAGCAATCCCGCCAATCTTGGAGGGGAACTCCTGTTCGTCGTCGTCATCGCGGGCAGCCATAGGTTCCTAAAGATGTGTTATGAATGAAGTAGGTCTGAAGACGAGATGAGGAAAGAGATAGCACTGCTGAGGGAATTACTGATAGAAGAGCTCACCTTATATACGAATCCGTGTGATGTCGCTAACATGTTAGAGTGGTCGATGAATATTCACGCTTCGTAGCCGGAGCTGGAGTGAGCGTTCCGTGGCCGCGTTGAGACAAATCAAAGTGCCTGTGATAATCGGCTCGTTAACACGGAAATAACCTAGTGATTCATTAGACGTACCTCGTGGTTTGACTTATACCAATCCACAGCTGTTCTGTCTTGCGAGGAGGCTGTGATAAGTATGCGGAAATTAGCAAAGACATAATAACACACGAAGAAACGACTTACAAGATGTTCTCGTGTTGGTGGGCATGTTTAGACCCTTGAACTCGAAACGAGGCTTTCGTTGAGTCAGATCAGTTTACGTCAACATGTGACAGGGCCTCTATAGCCATTGCCTTGCTCACAATGGCTTGTGTTCCGGTCGCCAACGAAGCGGCGAACCTGGAAATGCCAAGTTCGAAGAGCTACATGCCATAGTACTGTTAGCGATAGACTGCTTTGAGGTCCGATGTAATTACATACCAACAGATATACGAATGTGAATATTAAAGCGGATACGAACAGTGTCGTCTTAATCTGTCAAAGTTTATCAGCTCCGTGTGCAGTATATTCAGGTGTATATTTACGTACAAGTACGGTGGCAAACGATCTGGAGCGGGAGAAACCGGATATGCAAGTTCGCCGATGTGTCAAGGCAGACGAAATGAAAGAAATGCAGCTGATAAAATAGATCAGCCGAAGTCAAAGTGCATGTGGGTGACATTGTAAAACAAAAATGCGAATTTTGATGGACCAATCTGGATGACCACTAGACACGTGTAGTATTAGCACGGTTCTTCATCAAATGAAACGAGAAGGCTGTACGTCTGTCCTAGGAAGGAGGTGGCGAGTAGGCGTTGGCACTTCGAAATGAATGAAGTCATCTAGACGGTCATAACTGCGCAGAGCCATTAGCAAATGGGGATGAAGGTAGACAGACCGCCTATAATACCAAGTAGTCACAGTGAGATAAGGGGCGTGAACGAGTTGAAAAGATATCCGCACCTGTGTTTCATAGAGGTGCCCCTGGTCTTGAAGACGTCAGCGAGGAATGAATCCGGACTAAGGAGACTTGTGATAGCAAGAACGAGGGCCTTGAGGAGCGACAAGATTGCAGGTAAAGACATGAAATGAGGGCGTGGATCACGGAAAGAAGGGAAAGCAAACACAGAACTCGGGATTCTGTGCTGGTGTCTCAACGAGACCACTCCTTCATTCGAAGGAACATATCTCCGTCGATGTGGGCCATAACAAAAAACTCAGAACAGTCTGTCGAGCCGAAGTCAGGAGCAAGTAGAGCCCCCCGGATAATAGAACCGAGCGGGATGATGATGGAAGAAGCCCGAGGCGTAGCCTTGACGCGGATGAGACCGAGGTCTTTGTCCACCCTCCTCGTCAGCCCCGGCAGGCCTGCCGTGTAGGGCTGGACAAGTGCCAACGAGAGAGGTTCGTTGACGCCTGCAACGTCCATCTGAAAAACAAAGATCAGACGCACGAAGGCCTCTTCGGTGTCGGAAATTTGAACTAAGGCACAATCGTAACGCGGATGGTGGTGAAAGTTGGGGTGGCAGTGTAGATAGTCGGTCGTCTGTAGCCAGCTCTCTCTAGACTCGTAGTTGACCTTGACGAAGCGGAACTCCTGGAGCTTCTCAATATATTAGCTTTGTGCAACCAGTAGAAGTTGACGCCAGATGCATGAGGACGAATACACACCTGATAGCTGCGACCGAGTCTCTGCCATGAGATCAGTTGAGTCTTGTACTCCTCCATTCCTTCGAGGTTTGGTAGCGTCTCGTTGACGAACTTTTCAAGTACGTTATGGAGATCCCGAAATGCTGGTTCCTGAGGGTGCTCGCTTTGAAGGTTTGCAATGGTGGTGATGGGCTGAGACGATCCGACATAGAACTTCTCGGAGGAGGATCTAAAAGAACTATACTCAACAGCAGTGTCGCTGTCTGCGGACTCGTCTTGAGCAGAAAGAGCAGCTTCATGCTCTGCTATGCGGCTGAAGATCAGGTTGATAGCCAGCCGGTGCTGATCTATCCGTAGAATCTATTGAAAAGCCACACAGAAAATTAAGAAGGGAGAGAAAGAACGTTGAGATGGCGGAGCAATCAATTTTACGTACTTGTTCTGCGATCTCCTTTCCATTTGTATGACCGTATGCTGCTTTGAGGAGAGTGTGTACCCCCTCATTTGGCCGCGTGCTATAGTTCCGACTGGCGCCCTTATTACGAATATCCTCGAAAGCGTGTTTAAGATAATGTGCTTTTGGAAAGTCCCAGTCAACTTTTATGTCGGGTACCTGCGAGATTTTGGCAAGCTCTATATAGTCCTACAGTTTTCCGTGACATAGAGCACCATCAGAGAATCATCTATTCGATTTTAAGATCAGACAAATAGACTTACATCAAGCAAATTGCTGAACCAATTGAGCTCTGCCTCGCCGGCTGCAATTGTATCATCCGTATGGACGTCAAGACCAATATAGCAATTGAGCTCAAGATAACTTCTGATCACCAGAAGCAAAGCGTAGCCCTCGGGCGATGTTCTTGGCGTGAGGAGGTTCTGCGCCGCGAAGAGTATTTGCTAGAAATCAAGTTATTACAATGTATCAGACTCATTAGTATTCGAAATTTAGGCTTACCTTTGACATATCGTGAAATTTATTACCGTCAGAAAAAGAAGTGTTGACTGCGTGAGCGAAATGATTGAGGTCTCGCCACCTCGGCATTTTATCAAACCTGATTCTGTATGATGTAAATGAAGCAGGCGACAATTGAGAACTTACTGCTCATCGAATTTTCCCATTGTTCCTTCAAGCTTGCTACTGACGTGCTTGATGATTTTCTGAAGTTCCGGGAGTAGGTGTCGGCTGAATAGGCCGCCATGATTGAAATGCAAGCGGTCGAACAAGAGCGCGTCATGAGGATCCGAGTACTGAATATCCCAGAATACATTCTACAGTTCTTCAATAGTCAGTACATCGATTAGAAGTGTTCTGGGGCGCACCTCAGCTGGTCGCAAACCAACCTCCTTCATAGCGTCATTACCAAGGCCCTTATGAGTCTTGTACTTCTCGTATAACTCGCGCCCCTGCTCCGATGTACAGCGCTTATATTTTGTGCAAAAGTCTCGTAGCTTCTCCTTCGGAGAGAGGCAGATAGGACATGGGCATTTGCATTTAGGCCCGCGTATCAATGCCATCATGCACCTATAAGATAGTAAAAATAGTGAGTAGCTTCGACAACAAGAAAAAACGAGAAGAGACTCGACTGCTCCTCATAATTGGCGGAGAGTACAAATATGGCCGGGAACAGAATACGTTTTTGACCGTCGTAACAGTCATGCACCATCCCGGCATTCAAATACATTCCAATGTCTTCTATGAACGTCTTGAATGACTTATGCCAGACCACGTGTTTGAAGTTGGTGTATGACAGTTTCCCTTCTTTCTCGGGATCGTCGCCGAGCTGTTAGTTTATTATTGACATTCAAGGTAGAAGATCCAAGCATGAACATACGACAGGGAGCCAGCCAACGACGCGTGCACCTCCGATGCCGTTTCCATTGCGAATCTGAGTAGGTAGGTTCATGCATCTAGCAATTACCGGGTATCCTTGAATGGTTCCGAATGACGAAAGGCGTGTTTTGTCTGCGTAGAGAAGGATCGAGAACGGTGCGGGGGTTGCACTGGTGTGAGTATTAGGTAGTTTAGTCTGTAGACACAGGTAGACACGAGGTTATATAGCAATGAACGTCAGTATAAGCATAAGCATACACACTTGTATATTCCACCACCTATCGGCTGTCCATGGTTCGTCGTACATGCGGACAAACCGTCCTGAGTCCTCATCTCGTCTGTAGACTCTTTGAGCGTCCCATTCGAAGTGTGGGGCGAGGGACTTGTTCCCCAAGAGTTCTTTGGCCCATTCCAAGAGGTCTCGCTTGTGGACTTCGATGGGGATCTTCTGTTTCTTCCAGTCCACCGTAATCTTAAGTGTTTCAATCTGTACCATTCGTATACAATGCACAGCGAAGATTGTTATTGAATACTATCTAAACTAGTCGATACAGCGAGCTGCTTACAGGGGTGAGCTCCAAGGCTGCTTGGTCGCAAGTCTTACGCAGCTCGGCGTCATTCTTGAATGTCACGTCGGCATTCCCTTTGGCCACCTTACCAATGAGCGCCAGAAGGCGCTCAACGTTGGCCTGTGTGAGCTTGGCGTCGATTGCAATAGAGGCGAACTCACAGTCGCCCTTTGACTTGAACGGCTCCCAAGGGTCCAGTGCGTCGTTTTTGAGTGCCGGGGGCGGATGCGAAGCGTTACGAAACTTATCCCATGCCTCGATTTTCGTGGAACGCTTGCTGTCGGGGTGATATTCGGTTTTGAAATCCAAGTTCCGAGCTGAACTCGTGGTAGGGAGAGTCGTTGCGGTGTAGGCAACGCTTCTCATGCTGACATCAGACTCGGAGCCTTATAGTCGTATAAGCTCCTTCGTCAAAGGCAGAGACGTAGATAAGAAAAGATGAACAAATGATGTATGAAGTCTAGCCCCACTGTCCTCGAACGCGTCGAACTCCCTCGCGTACTCAGCGCCAATAAGCCCGGGCATTGTTCCTCCATATAGATTAGGTAGATCTAATGCAGCCTACATGAGCAATGCCACTGAGCGAGGAGAGGGACGTACCATTGTTCATGCCCTCGACAGGGGCTGCTGGAGGCTCGGGAACGTAAGTTGAGATCGAAGGTCCCCAAGAACCCTGATCGCCGCTTTCGGCGCGCTTTGAGGAGCTCGCGGCCGATGCTTGCGCTGCGGACAGGCGTTCAGCCCGAAGCTGAATGTCGCGAGCTAATGAAGAGACACATGTGTTAGTATAAAGAGGCACCGTGGCGAGTACTTACCTTCTCGCTGTAGAGTGAAATGCCTATCCGATATAGCATTCCGACGTTGCGTCTGCTGCTGACACTCCTTACAAGTCCTCTCGTGCATGCGAAGGCCGTTGGGGTGCAGTAGTCGGCCACAGTTATTCGGGCATGGAACCTTGTCAGCATCGCTCGGCTTGGCTTGGGCCTTGTCCTTCTTGGTGGCGCGAGGCATCGTTTACAGGCTGGGGTGAGGTACGAAGATGATACAGTAATAATGAACAACAGGGGACGGAGGTGAATCCGGGGAAGGGGCGGAGAGAGCGATCGATGGTGGTTGACGTCCGATCGAGGCTCCAAGGCACGTCGGATCAACTAGGACGCCGGAGCCACGCGTGCGAATAGATGTGTCAGCGTAGGAATGCATCTAAATGTACTCTTACCGGGTCCCACCGTTCCGACTCAGGAAGAACGAGGGCATGGACCTGCCGGGGCAATCCGAATGGCGTGGCAATGTCAGTTGCCACGTGTAGACGTATGCGTCAACGTTATAACGCGTGTAGATCCCGCCTCGCCGTTCTGGCGACGCCTCCGGCACAACCCGGCATTTGAACTCAATTCAAACGACGTTCCTACGGCATTCGGGCAACATGGCAACGCGCTTGTTTGGCTTTCGTGGGAATGGTCATTTACACTTTTCCGACATTGTGCGACTGGGGCGATATCTGTTTGTTTGTTCAACCGACTGTCGACAATTATCGACGATCATGCATCATGGAAGACCTGTAGTCAGTCAACAAGAAACTAGACATATATGGACTGGTTTGCATTTCGGAGACTAACGCGCGCTTGTAATTTGAGAGCTGACCTCCACTTAGTGGCGACGTACTGCATTTCCCCTCCTTTACCTCGAGCTCGAGTCGTCCTCGAACGGGGGGGTCCCGTAGGCAGAATCTGACAGAACTTTACTGCTTTCGGAAGACATAAGGGTGCACAGTCCAATTATGTCCAAAGTCGATGTCCTTGTCCTTGGTGCTACCGGCTTCACTGGCCGCCTCACCACTCAACACCTCGCTGCCCACCCCCAGGTGAATGCATTCACGCTCGCAGCCGGGCAGAAGAAGCTCGATACACTCGTCGCAAGCTACAAGGCCGTGCACAGGTTCTACTTGTTGACGTCATGAACCCAGGGCATGTTGAGATGGCAGTAAAGAAAGCGAGAGTCGTGATCAACGCCGTTGGGCCGTACTGGAGGTGGGGTACACCGGTGATTGGGTAAGTCCCTCAGATTCGTGTCTATTCAAGATAGATCCATCATTGGAACCTAGCGCTTGCGTCAAGCACGGCACGCACTACGTCAACCTCACCGGCGAGCCCCAGTGGGTGCGACGCATCATCGACGCGTACGACTTCGGCGCGACTAGGACACACGCAGCCATCGTACCGTGCTGTGGGCTCAACTCCATCCCCTCTGACATGCTCGTGCACCTTTCGGCGCGCACTCTGCGCGAGTTCGCGGGCCCACATGCACTTCTCGGGCTCTCTGTTAGTGCGTGGAAGATGTCGGGAGCCGCCACTTCTGGGGGGACGGTTGCCACTCTGTTGGCGTGCATCGAGGAGACACCGAGGATGGAGATGAGGAATGCGGTCAAGGACTACTCACTAAGTCCAGGTGCGTTATGTACCGCTCTTCTTCAGCCCTTCCAGCACCCCCGTTGACCCTCTTCGCGTTTCTCCCTCTCTTCAAAATACGTACACACTTTTTCGACACCGTTGGCCTGCTCATCCTGCCATCCAGTCCAAGGTACACAGATCCACAGCCCTCGGATCATCTACAACCTCCCCTTGACCAGCCCAAGCCTCTCCAGCCCGTTTCTCGTCATGGCTGTCATCAATCGGCAAGTCGTCTTCCGCACCTGGGGCCTCCGTGTGTCGGAATTCGCAAGGCTGACGCGCGCCCAAGATACGAGACTGTCGGCCGACAAACAAGTGACAGGCTCGACAGCGCTTGTAGCGTAGGCGCCGTGGTTGCGATACGAGCTGGCGTCGTGACATCGAGGCCGACATCGGACGATGTCGCCATCGTGAATATACCCTTTTTCTGTTCTGTCTCCTGCCGTATATTTGATATTTAGGCCCACGTTTGTTCCTCACTTGTTCGGTTTCCTTCGACGACATTCCTTTGTCTGATTTCATGTGTTTATTCTCGTTGTCTCCTACGTGTCGTAGCCTTGGCGTCGTGATACCCGGAACTCTTCGAGTTCCACTTATACCAGACCGTACGATAGCAGCACCTCAGTGTTCGCTTCCCGCGCATCGACTGAGGTGAGACTCTTCCTATTTTACTCGTTTTCTAGACACGTACTTACCCTCGTTTTGTAGTCTAACTTATCGTGTCTAGGTGAATAGCATATAGCG